TAATTTAAGTTTAATAAATTTATTTTTGATTTAATAATATAATATTTATAAAGATAATAATTAAAGATTCTGTTATAACTCAATGATTATCCTAATTATATTTTAGATTTTATATATTTAAAATGAGATGTTTATCTTATATTTGATTATGTTTATCTACAGTTAGTTATACAAATTCAAATATGGAGCTTTAATAAGTTGTACCTACGTACAATATACTTGTAATCTTGAGTTTGAAGTAACATGCATTAATAAACAGTACTTTATATATAAAAAGTAGTTTTTAAAAGTTTTTGTCAAATGCTTTATAATATAGTATATATTAGTAAACCAAAAACAAATTACTTTGTTATTAAACCTAAATTAAATCATGGTAAATAAATTACATAAAAAAACAATAATTTTTAAATAGTTAATTTGATACTAATATCAATATATTATTTTTCATTTTTTATGAATATAAGCATTGTCGCTTTCTTAAAGTCACATAAAACCGTATTATATCGATAGAGACAAAATAAAACGAAACATTATCTCGATGTATCTCGCTGCATTGCGCGAGTATCCTTCTAGTCTCTCAAAAAAGATAAGTATGAGATATATTAATTAAGTAAACTCCATTTTTAAAAAAAAGCATTTTAAGACTTGAGACTAGTAATTATATATAACTAGAATGGTACTCACGCAATGCAACGAGATATATCGCAATTTTAATGTTTCATTTTCTTTTTGTGGTCTATGTCGCTGTTATAATATGAATTTATGTAGTTTTGAGCAAACAATAATGTTAAATATAAATTTAAAGATATCATAAAAAATTTATATATATATATATGTTCTCATTTTTTGTGTAATTTATTTAATTCATTTTTTTATTATAATTTAATTTAGGTTTAATGACGAAGTAATTTATTTTTTGTTTAATAATATATTTTTTATAAAGATAATAACTAAGTATTATGTTACACCAAATAATTATCCTAATTATATTTTGAATATATTTAAAATGAGAACTTTATTTTGTATTTGGTTATATTTATATACAGTTAGTTACACAAATTCCAATATAAAGTTTAATAATTTGTATTTATGCAAAATTTACTTATAATCTTGAATTTTATATAATATGCATCAATAAACAGTACTTTATGTATAAAATTATGATTTTTAAGAGTTTTTATCAAATGTTTTATAATATAGTATAGATATTGACCACAATTAGTCAAAAAACCGCCTTTTAAATTGCAGTCGTTTAAATTAAACTTGATATTAGATCTCAGTCGTTTAAGGGGGTGTTCAGGATTGCTTATAAAAACAACTTATTGATTTATTATGGTGTGACACCGGTAATAGACACCTTTAAGTGTTTGGGTAAACAACTTATACCGGTGCCAAACCGGTAATAATAAGTTTAAAAAAAATTAAACTCTTCTAATTTATAATAAACTCATAAGTGCCTTTGTAGAAAAACATAAGTTGTTTCAAATAAGCAACCCAAACACCCCTAAATTGTTTCAAGTTATTAAACCTAACAACCTCTCACTAATCTTCCACCAAATCATTTTTAATTTCAAAATTACATTTTTTATCCTTATAATTAGCGATTTGATTTACTTTATATTCTTTATTTTTTCGCTTTTAATTTATCACCATCACCATATTAACACAAATAATCGTATATGAAGTAAAATATATTTAAAAAATACGTTTCTTTTTTTACAAATTATACCATTATAATAATTTCATCAATATCTTCAAATTGCATCAAATATTGAATATGTTTTGACTTAATAATACTATTAAATATTATAAATACATACGAATTAATTTGTTTTATATCCATATATTTTCATTTTACACCTTTATATATTTGTACTATATTATAAAACATGATAAACGGTTATTTTTGAATTTTTAAGAGATATATTAACTAAAATATATTAAAAAATTCATTTTTTTATATATTATACTATTATAATATTCGTTTTATCAATACATTCAAAATAAGTTCAGCAGTTAATATTTTTGGATTTAATCTTATTACTGACTGAATAACATAAATACACAATTGATTGTTTTTAATACCTATTTTTAATATCTTTATTTTTCTTTTTTTTTACTTTTTTATTTTACACCTCGTATATATAATATCTATATTAAAATCAAAAGACAGAGTTATGGTTATTTTTTAATTTTTAAGAGATATTTATTTTTATGCTAAATGTACATATTTTATAACAACTTATAATGACTTTCAAGATTACAGTTATCTTCAAATTTCAAGTGTACAAGATTTTATGAATAATGTGCAACTTCTTTAAGTTGTATGAAATTCAACTTCCCACACCCATGATCCATATGTCCCAATATAATATTAATTAATTATTTTTTATACCCTTATAATTAGTTGTTTAATTAATTTATATCATTTACTTTTTCATTTTATACTTTTATCATGTTAACATAAATAATCGTATATGAACTAAAATACTTTTTTTATACAAATTATACCATTGTAATTATCTCATCAATACCTTCAAAATAAACCTAATATCGAATAATTTTAGACTCAACCTTATTATTAAATACCATAAATACTTATAGGGAATTATTTTTAAAACTTATATTTTATACTCTCTATTTATTTATTTTTATTTATTCATTTTACACCATGAATAGTAGTTACATTAAAAATTATTTTTAAAACTTATATTTTATACTCTCTATTTATTTATTTTTATTTATTCATTTTACACCATGAATAGTAGTTACATTAAAAATTATTTTTAAAACTTATATGCTTTAGTGCTTTAATTACACCTCCTTTATTCTCTATATTCAACTCAACAGTGTACTTTTATCATGTGATTGTGAGAAAATTAGAGGAGCTCCGTTCATTCTTGGCTTACATCTGCAAGAGAATGACGTCAATAGTTCATTTGAAGAGAAAAGAACTCATGGTGTTGGTTTTTTTTCTTATGATTTGTGAATGTGTTAAATTAAGTTTCCAATCCTTCTATTTTACGTCATTCATATTTTCTATCTGTGTAAGTTGATCATTGTGCTACGGGCTTGTTTTCTTGATAGGCTTTGTAATTTGATTATTATAATGTATATACTGATAGATGTTTGTATGACTCATTTGAGAACCTCTTGATCAAGATTATGTCTGCGAATATCTTGATAGGCTTTGTAATTTGATTATTATAATGTATATACTGAGTGATGTTTGTAGGACTCATTTGAGAACCTCCTGATCAAGATTATGTCTATGAATATCTTGAAATGGGAACATAATATAACGTGAATTCCGTTGAGCTAGGATCATAAAATTTTCCAAGAAGGTAACCGGTCTACTTCCCATTTTTTCTATCTACATGTCTAATATCATTAGTTCAACCGATAAATATCACTGAATTACAAGTGATGTAGTTGTTATGTGAATTGTTGTGACGAGGTCGGTTGATTTTTTCTTAAGTTTTATTTAAATTGTTGTGATAAAATCCGTCGATCTTTTTTCTTCACCAGTATTGAAAATGGTACTGATTTTGAGTTGTATTATGGATATATCACTAATTCATATAGTTATTTATAAATATTAAGTATCATTGACTTTCTTTTATTTGACTTTTAAGTTTTCAAACAACATTTATTATGGAATTACCTTGGAGTGTCTGATAAGCAGAAACTATCAAACAAACATAATAATTAACAAAAAAACACATGATTTATTCCATTTTTAATAAGTGGGTCAAGGCCTCATGGTGGTGTTTTTGTAAGCTAATGCTTACACAAGACAAATTGCAAGTAAATCGATTAAAGAAAACATGATTGTCGGTGGAAAATTGAAAAAATCAATGATAGTAATCGAGTGCAAACTTGAAATCAAGTGGCAACAGATCTGCAAATCTAATGTCTGTACGCATCTTATCCCATCCACAATACTATTCTTAAGAAACCCCCAAATTTTCGTCTTCATAATCTTTGATTCAGTCAAGACGCATATACTTATAGAGAGAGAAAGTGAGAGATACATAGAGAGAGAAAGAGACCCAGTTAGTCCTTTTGAGTCTTTTTTACCCTACTGGGTCCATGACTCCATGACCTGCAGGTGATCTTCTAAATTGAAGCAAAAGGTTTTGAAAAAGGTTGGTATTTTTGTTCATTTTCTTGACAGTTTACCCATATGTGTTTGATATTGATTCAGCTCAGAGGATCTCCTTTTCGTCTGTTTGATTGGAGGATGAAATCTGGGTTTGGACTTTGAATCCCTAATAAGGTACTTCTGCACTTCCATTTGCTGTTTCTTGATTGCTAGTAAGGGTTTTTGATTGATGGGTATGCTTTATTACTTGATAGTTATGCAATTTATACATACTTTAATGGGAAACCTAGATGTTTATGAATGTGAAATGGGTGTTGATTTGGAAAACTGAAGTGTCGAGTATGGTCTTTTTGTTTACATTCTACAGTATGTCCAAAATTCTGTGTAAGATCCCACATCGGTTGGGGAGGGGAACTTAGGTTGCCTTATAAGGGGTTGGTTCATACGCCATTTAGAACTGCGAGTCCAGGTGTGGACAAAATGGACAATATCTGGTAGGGTTGCCCGAGATATCAAAGCCGGAACTAAGGTTATCTTATAAGGGACCGGATACCTCTTCTATCAGACACAATTTAAAACTGTATGGACAAAGCAAACAATATCTGGTATGGTTGTCTCCAATGTTACAAAAGTTCTTTAAAATCTGTGTTAGCTGAAGGACGTTGGTTAGTATGCAATGAAAAACTAAGTACAAAGGTTGGAAAAATGAGCCAACTTTTTAGACAACTTAAACTTGTTGGCTTTGATTTTGATTTCAATTTGCAACCAAATTTACTAGGAGTTCTGGTGGTCAATGGTGATCAAAAGTGAAGGTTTCAAGACTCTGGAAAGTTGGATGGACGAGTTGTAAACCTTCACCAAAGTAACTTTATATCGTGTCTTGAAAGCTTAAAGATAACTTGACGATGGGGTGTGAGTTTTCTCGGCTATCTTCGTGTTGCTGTGTTACAAAACAGCATGGCGTGATTGCTGAATCCCATGATGTCGGTATGTAAAAACTCCTTAAAGCCTGTCCCTTTTTGTTGTTATTTTTTTTTTGACAAAATCTTTATTTTTTTCAGAAAAAGAAGAGACAGGTGAAGCAAGTGATTTGCCTTCATTTCGTGAATTTTCCATCGAACAACTTAAGACGGCTACGTCTGGTTTTGCTGTTGAGAATATCGTCTCTGAACACGGGGAGAAAGCCCCCAATGTGGTTTATAAAGGGAAGTTGCAAAACCAGAGACGAGTTGCCATCAAACGGTTTAATAGATCTGCGTGGCCTGATTCGAGGCAGTTCTTGGTATGCACATCTCCGATACCATTCAAGATTCTATTTTGTATGTTTTTGTTCATGAAAAGTTGGCTTTTCTAACCATCATACTTGGCTTTTTGGTGCAATTAAATCGTTGTTCTTCCATAAAAATAGAACATTATATGAATGCACCCATGGTACTCGGAACTTTTTGTTTAAAGTGATCCGGGCCTGTTTGTTAGCAGCTTAATAAGCTTAATGGGACTCGCAGCTTATTCGGTCAGCTATACATGATTGTTTGGTAGTGGCTTAATAGTATAGAAAGTGACTTGTTCAATAATGAGCTTCTAGGGGGAGCTTTATGCAGAAAGTCAGTTTTTTTCCAAACTTGCCCCACCCAATTAAAGAACACGCTCCTTCTATCTATGAAAAAACCCTCCAAACAAAAACATTCCAATCTATACAGATAGATTAATGCACACATACAACTTTATCCATACATATATTAATGAAAAACCAACCAAACAACCCCTCATTCTTATTTGCAATAATAAGACGAGTAATTGACCTTTTGGAATCATGTTTGGCTTTTTATTGCAAATTAGTCATTGCGTTGCTAAAATGTCAGAATACACGACAAGATCAAACCAAACGAGCCGTGGGGTGGGGGGGTGGGGGGGGGGGTTACGCAGACCCAAGAGTAGAGCGGATATTTCCATCACAACCCCCGGCTGGTGAAAAGTGTTAAAAAGGGAGAAAAACTGATATCTTCGAAAATGAAAAGCTAGATAAGATTAAACAAAATCACTCATTCGACGCTTTTTGTCCAAAAACACTCATTCTTATTCCTTACTACCTATAATGTTCTCTTTCTTTTGTACTTTCACAAGAAAGATAGCTTATTACCCGTGACAAGCCAATACGTTGGTTTAAAGAGTCGATATCTCTATAATCATTGCAAAGTTGTAGTATTTTTAGGTGGTCTTTATAGCATGATTGTTAATCACAAAATGCTTGATGACCTCATGTTGAAAAAAAAACCAAAATTTCCATCAATGAACAATCTTTTGATACCACATATGACCACAGGAAGAAGCAAGAGCGGTTGGTCAGCTTCGAAACCCTAAATTGGCCAATCTACTTGGATGTTGCTGCGAAGGTGACGAAAGACTACTTGTTGCCGAGTTTATGCCACATGAAACACTTGCAAAGCACCTCTTTCATTGTAAGTTCCTTATTTGTGAAATTATATATCTAATTGATGTGAATTTTAGTCCAAAATTTGATTCCATTTTCATCTTGAATTAGGGGAAACACAACCTATGAAATGGGCAATGAGGCTAAGGGTGGCATTATATCTAGCCGAAGCTCTAGAATATTGTACAAGTAAAGGGCGCGCTCTTTACCATGATCTCAACGCCTACCGAATAGTCTTTGATGATGTATGTTGTTAACCTTTTATTGTTGCTTTTAGTAGGCCGTTGGTTACGGAAAAAACCACTCTACTCTTTCGGGTAGAGGTCAGGTTTGCATACATCTTAGGGGCTGTTTGGTTGATTTTCCATTAAGGGCCTGTTTATTAGCAGCTTAATGGGACTCGCAGCTTATTTGGTTAGCTATACATGACTATTTAGTAGTGGCTTAATGATATAGAAACTGGCTTATTCAGTAAGCTTCCAAGGGAAAAAAGGGGGGGGGGTTATGCAGAAAGCCAAGTTTTTTCCAAACTTGTCATTCCCAATTAAAAAACATGCTCATTCCATCTATGAAAAGCCCTCTAAGCAAAAACCTTCCTGATCTACAGAGAGAGATTAATCCACACAGACAACTTTATCCATCCAAGACTTGATGGAAAACCAAATAGCCTCTTAATGGAAAACCAACCAAACAGCCCCTAAGTCCTATATGGATAAAACTGTCTGTGTGGATTAATCTGGCTGTATAGATTGGAAAAGTTTTTTAGGAGGTTTTTTTCATGGATGGAAGGAGCTTGCTTTTTAATTGGGAGTGGCAAGTTTGGAAAAAACTTGGCTTTCTGCATAAAGCAACCCCTAAAAAGCCTACTGAATAAGCCACTTTCTATATCATTAAGGCACTACCAAACACTCACGTATAGCTGACCGAATAAGCTACGAGTCCCATGAAGTTGCTAACAGACAGACCCTTACCAGCATAACCCATACCCCACCTCCGGGTGGGATATACCGGGCTTGTTTTATTTGGTTATAATATTATGTGTCTACTCTTCCTCCATAATACTTTACAGGATGCAAATCCTAGACTCTCGTGCTTTGGCCTAATGAAGAACAGTAGAGACGGAAAGAGTTACAGTACAAATTTGGCATTCACTCCTCCTGAGTATCTGAGAACAGGTATTTTGACGACCTTACTTACTACACCTATACACAAATTGATATCTCGACTCTTGATCTTGACTTGTGATCTTTGACACTTACTTCCGTTGAACTTTTAGGGAGGGTAACACCAGAAAGTGTGACGTATAGTTTCGGCACCCTTTTGCTTGACCTTCTAAGTGGAAAACACATTCCACCTAGCCATGTATGTGATCAAACTATCAACTATGCACGCCCGGATGGAAATTTTTAATTTTAATCAATATCATGTGGATCTATCAGGCTCTTGACCTTATAAGGGACAGAAATCTTCAGATGCTTACGGACTCTTGCTTAGAAGGACAATTTTCTAATGATGATGGAACCGAATTGGTACGGTTGGCTTCAAGATGTTTACAATATGAGCCACGTGAACGGCCAAATCCAAGGTCATTGGTTACTGCTTTGATTCCTCTTCAAAAGGAAACAGAGGTAATGTCTTTCTTTGACTGGTTTTTTATATAATATGCCTTAAATTTTGCTTTTTGGGCTCCTTCATGTCCTAAAAGCCACAAGTATTTGTTTCTAGTGATCATGATTAAGGGAACGTTCAAATGAGAACCACACATATTTTGAGAACCTGATAACCAACTAATTCATGTATTATTCGTAATGAATAACCAATTAATTCATGTATTATTCATAACGAATAATCAGCTAATTCATGCATTGTTGATAATGAATAACCAGCTAATTCATGGATCATTCATAATGAATCACCAGCCAATTCATTTATCATTCATAACGAATGACTCTCAATAATCATGAATATCATGGTTTTTGATCATGAGTATAATGTATTTTCATTATGAATAATTTTCATCCTGAAGATCTATCACGGCATTCATCATGAATAAAATATGAATAGTTGGTTCTCAAGTTCTCAAAATATTTACGGTACTCATTTGAACCTACACCTCATGATATATGTTTCTTTTTTGTTGTTGTACTAAGTTTGTTGTGTGTAAATATCACAGGAGCCTTCTCATGTATTAATGGGCATGCCACAAGGTGGCCCTGCTATGCCTCTAACCCCACTCGGTGAGGCCTGTTTAAGAATGGATTTGACCGCCATACATGAAATCTTGGAAGATTTAGCCTACAAAGATGACGAAGGAGCAGCTACCGAGGTTTGTCTTGACTTTGACTTTTCTTTTCAAAGTCAACCGGCTTAATATTCACGGATTTTTTTTATATTTTGCAGCTATCGTTCCATATGTGGACAAGTCAGATGCAGGATACGCTGAACTCCAAGAAGAAAGGGGACGTTGCTTTTCGCCATAAAGAATTCAAAACCGCAATAGACTACTATACGCAGGTTATTGCACATGTCTTAATTCCCTTCTCGGAAGGAAAATAAACGATGTGTTTCCTCCCAAATATGGGAAGAAATGGAAGTAAAAGAATGATAAGCCTTGGAAAATATGTAAAATTACAAAATTAATCACAAATACAAATATGAAGTGTGTGTATAGAGAGAGTTCCGTTAGGAACTGAAAATTGATTAGGAAACCGGGAACTGTACACAACACAACACGTCTCCCTGGAGATGCTATTCATCGTTAACCATGCATTCATGATGAATAACACGTTCATATTCATGATGAATATGCCGCGAGGGCGGTCCCTTAGTTCTTAATCAATTTTAGTTTTCTAACGGAACCTTCCCTATATATATATATATATATATATATATAGATATATATATATATATAAATATATATATATATATATATAAATATATATATGTTTGTGTGTGAGAGAAAATGACATCTTTTCTTTCCCTCCTCTCTAGTTCAAGAATGTGAAAAGTTGTTTCCTTCCCTTTGCTTTCAAGAACAGAAATGAATAAATAAAAATTTATTTTCCTTTCTTTCCAAATTCAGAAACACAATGTTAATCTTGACTTAATTTGTAACGGGTTTTTGTCGTCAGTTCATCGATGTAGGAACCATGGTGTCACCAACGGTCTATGCCCGCCGAAGTTTGTCACATCTCATGAGCGATATGCCACAAGAGGCACTCGACGATGCTGTACAAGCACAAGTCATATCTCCAATTTGGCACATCACTTCCTACTTACAAGCTTCTGCGCTTTTCGCTTTGGGGAGGGAAAACGAAGCACATATAGCACTCAAAGAAGGCTCGGTCCTCGAAGAGAAAAAGAACGTCACTTCTTAGATCGTTTTCAAAGCGAAGAATTCAAAATCGCTCTTATGACATCCATGAGAACGTAAAGGGGGATCATTGAACCGGATTTTTGACAGAAAAGGTGCCATTTTTAAGTGAAAAAGAGAAGCTTGACTACAGGATGAGTTTGAGTTTTTGATTTGCTTGTATTTTTTTGGGTTTGATTTGTTGAAGCATTGTGTTGGGTATGATTGGTTGATTCTGGTGGCGGTTGGTGGTGGCGCCACCTTACGAAGGTGGTGAATGACATCTTTACCCTTGATGCCAGATGAGTGAAGTTTATACAGAAAATCGTGGGTGGATAAGGGATTAATTGTCAATTCACACCTTTGCTTTCTGTAGAGGTTTGGTTTGCAATACTGTAATCTTTACCAACAGATGAAACTGGCTTGTTCATATTCATTCTACTGCACCAGTTGAGTTCTTTCTTGCTTGTTTGGTTTGTTTCCATTAATTCTTGTATTGATAAAACTGTCTATATCGATTATTTAGTATGCATAGATTGTGAAGATTTTTATTTGGGAAGATTTTTTCATGGAAAAAATTAGCTTTCTGTATGAGACTCACTCCTAGAAGCTTATTGAATAAGTCATTTTCTATATTATTAAGCTACTATCAAATAGACATGTAGCTGACCGAATAAGTTGCAAGACACATTAAGCTCTATAAGCTATTGAGAAATAATGTGATAGAAAGTAAAAAAAAGGATCAAAATGCATCAAACATAACACAGTTTGGCTTGATGACTGTTTGTCAGCAGCTTAGTGATACTCGCAACATATTCGATCAATTATACATGATGATATAGAAGGGGGTTTATTCAGTAAGCTTCTATGGAATGCTTTATATAGAAAGTCAAGTTTTTTTCAAAACCTTCATTTCCAATAAACACGTTCATTTAATTTATGAAAAAACTCTATTAATCTATACAGACATTATCATCCACATAGTTTTATTCATAAGAACTTGATGAAAAACCAACCAAACAATTCCTATTTACTGTAACAAAGTTTCTTATTTGTACCCATTTTGACATATAACATTTGATATGGATACCCGTTTATGAAATGGTCACTATGAAGTGGATGATAAACTTGACATTTATGTCATCAAATGTTATATAGAATACAAAACTCTTGAAACTTTGTTACATTAATTGACAAAATTATGAAACTTTACCAAGTTGGTTGTAAAAAAATTAAACCAACCAAAGGGACTATGTAGACTTTGACCTCCTAGGAGGTCAGGGGTTCAAATCTCACCAAAAGTGAGGAGGATGTGTGAGTTTATTTGTTACATTTGCCGTATATAAATATTATATATACTTCAAAAAAACATATTAAATCATAAGGGTGGTGCCTGATTGGTTTGAGCTTGAGTTCTAAAAATCAAAAGTGTATATAGGTCTCAGGTTCAAATCCAAAAGGAAATAAAAATCCTCTTGTGACTGTGGAAGTTCAAATGCAATGACTCCGGGCTACCCATGAATCAAATAAAAAAAAATCATACAGTAGATTGAAATTAACACATACTTTGTTTCATTTTACCAATCAAAATCATGTTTCACAAGAAGAACATTGCAGAATATGGTTTGAGAATTGAGATACATACACACCATGAGGATGTGTAAAATACACACACAAACAAACATTACACACCCTTTGACTTTCGTTGACTTTTATTGACTTAATTTTCTTCAACTTCATCATATTCATCTTCTTCAACCTCATCAGTGACTGCATCTTGATACTGTTGGTATTCCGAAACCAGATCGTTCATGTTACTTTCGGCCTCGGTGAACTCCATCTCGTCCATCCCTTCGCCGGTGTACCAATGCAAGAAAGCCTTCCTCCTAAACATCACCGTAAACTGCTCGGAAACCCGCCGGAACATCTCCTGAATCGACGTCGAATTCCCCATGAACGTTGACGACATCGACAGCCCGGTGGGCGGGATGTCACAGACGCTCGACTTCACGTTGTTCGGGATCCACTCGACGAAATACGAAGAGTTCTTGTTTTGTACGTTGATCATTTGTTCGTCGACTTCTTTGGTGGACATTTTGCCTCGGAACATGGCGGAGGCGGTCAGGTAACGGCCGTGGCGGGGGTCGGCAGCACACATCATGTTCTTGGCGTCCCACATTTGTTGGGTGAGCTCCGGGATCGTTAGTGCTCGGTATTGTTGGGATCCTCGGGAGGTCAACGGTGCAAATCCGACCATAAAGAAGTGGAGGCGGGGGAACGGGATAAGATTCACAGCGAGTTTGCGGAGATCGGAGTTGAGTTGGCCGGGAAACCGGAGGCAACATGTGACACCGCTCATCGTCGTCGAGATCAAGTGGTTTAAGTCGCCAACTGTAAAATTTTTTGATCAACGAGCAGTACAATTAGGTTACAGGTAGATCCCAACCGCTACGGAGGTTATAAATTCAAGATTGTGTGTGAATTTTGCAGTATATAAATATGATCGTTTAGTTGACTTACAACTGGGGTTCGTAAGCTTGAGCGTACGGAAACATATATCATACAACGCCTCGTTATCAAGAACCATGCACTCATCAGCATTTTCGACGAGTTGGTGGACGGATAGGGTGGCATTGTACGGCTCAACCACCGTATCCGACACCTTCGGTGACGGAAATACCGAAAAAGTCAACATCATCCGATCCGGATACTCTTCCCGGATCTTCGATATCAAAAGGGTCCCCATGCCCGATCCGGTCCCCCCTCCAAGCGAGTGACATATTTGAAAACCTGTCGTACAATAAATTAGACATAATCACCACCATTCGAAACATTCCACCTTAAAAAAAGAAAACCAATAATCGTGTACCTTGCAAACAATCACAATTCTCGGCCTCTTTACGAACAACGTCAAGAACCGAGTCAATTAACTCGGCACCTTCGGTGTAATGCCCTTTAGCCCAGTTATTTCCGGCACCATTTTGGCCGAAAATAAAATTATCTGGCCGAAAAATGTTGCCGTAGGGCCCGGTACGGAGACTGTCCATCGTACCGGGCTCTAAGTCAACCAATACAGCTCTAGGTACATATCTTCCACCACTAGCCTCATTATAGTACACATTCACCCTCTCTAGTTGAACATGGGTATCTCCGACGTATTTTCCGGTGGCGTCGATGCCGTGTTCGTCGCACACGACCTCCCAAAACTTGCCGCCGATCTGGTTTCCGCATTGTCCGGCTTGAACATGAAGGATCTCTCTCATTTTCTTGAAAATAAAATTAGAAAAATAATTCTTTTTTGGGAAATTGGAGAAAGGGAGTGTGGGAAGGAACAATGAAGGGTGAATGGGAAATGGGGGTTTTTGTAGCAAGAGTTGAGAAAGGGTATGATGGGGACACTGATATTTTTATTTTATTTTTAGATTAAATTACAGATTTAGTCCTTGTGGTTTCGCAAGTTGGTTTCCTTGTAATAAATTTACTAAGAAGCTGTTTGGTTGATTTTCTATTAAATCCTGTATGAATAAAGTTGTTTGTATGGATTAATTTGTCCGTATAAAAAATTGAAAAGTTTTTTGTTTGGTTTTTTTTTATTCCATAAATGGAAGAATCATGCTTTTTAATTGGGAGGTCAGGTTTAGAATAAAAACTTGACTTTCTGTATAAAACTATCATTTAGATGTTTACTAAATAAGACATTTTTTATATAATTAAACTATTATCAAACAACCATCTATAGCTGACCGAAAAAGTTGTGAGTCTTGTTAAGCTGCTAACAAAGAGAGCCTAACAATTACTTTGTTGAATCAAAGAAATTTTTGTATTTTTGATTTTTTACATTTTTATTTTATTTCTATTTAAAAAATAATAAATTTATATAGTTTTTTTTAAATATATTAAAAAGTCTCCATAATTCCAAGATATTTAGTTCTTTTACTTATTTTCACTTATATATATACATATACAGGGTTGGGTTCACGTGAGACCAAATGTTTTTCGTGAAACTCGTAAGACCAATTTATGTTCATTGATTAACTTTATAAGCTAATGATCTAATGGTCTAAAGTTGTACGGTGGCAATTTTGTGATTATTGAGAAGTCTCGTGACAATTTTGTGATTATGAATGTTCAAATTGTAGATCTAATCAAAGCGTGAGAATTGGTCTTACGGGTCTCACGAAAAACCCTTGGTCTCACATGATCCCAAGTCTACACACACACACAGATATATATATATATATATATATATATATATATATATGTGGAAGTTCAAACGAGAACCCCTGTGATTTACAAGAATGCGAGAACAACCTAATAACCTCAAACTTTTTTAATTAATAAATTAACTTTTATTATATATAAATAATTTAATAAGGGCAGTAATGTAATTAAGTAATTTTTGTAATTTTTATAATTTTTATTTTATTTTAATTAACCATAATTATCCTATCACGTTTCCACGTTTTACTCTTGTTAGTTTTCTTCTTCTTCATGTCGTTCTTGCTTCTTCTTCATATCACATCCATATGACATGATTATCATACTCATATCACATGATTACACCAAAGATTTAACTTATCAACCAAAACGATAACCCAAGTGATGTATAACGGTGATTATCACACTCAGATCACATGATTACACCAAAAATTTAACTTATCAACCAAAAAGATAACCCAAGTGATGTATAACGGTGATTATCACACCCATATCATATGATTACACCAAANTGATTATCACACCCATATCATATGATTACACCAAAAATTTAACTTATCAACCAAAATGATAATCCAAGTGATGTATAACGATGATTATCACACCCATATCACATGATTACACTAAAAATTTATCACATGATTATCGTGTTAAAATATTCGATGATATTATTTCCATGATTACCCTTTTAATTTTAATATTTTTTGAATTTTTTTTAAATTTCAACTTTATTTTAAAAATCTTTTAATTTTATTTTTTATCACAATATGAGGTTATTGGGTTGTTCTCGATATATATATATATATATATATATTTCATTATGTAATTTAAACTATATAACTTTATTATTTTAAAAACAAAAATGAAGGAAAAATATAAAAAAAAGACATATTTTATTGATTTAACAAATTAACTGTCAGTAGAGTTATGACAAAGGACTCAATTCTAACTAAAGATAAACAATAATGACTATAAATGTAATTATTTTATTTTGAAAACCCAATTCATCATTTCCATATAACTACATTTGTAATTTAGTCTTATTTTTATTTTATAGAAATAAAATAATGAAAATAATTTCAAGAAAGAAAATAAATAATAATAATTTCCATGTGGGTGTGTTTTTTTGTTTTGTGGGCCACACCCAAAGCCCGTCAAGATTTAATGAGCTGGACATGAGAGAAGACAGCAAGGTGGAGTGGCCTTAGTCCTAGTGAATTTCCAACTTTACCCTTCAATACATAATTTTGATTAGTGTAAAATATCCCGCTTTTAGCGTGTAGCTCAGTTGATAAAAAAAAAACAGAATAACTTCACCCAAATACAAGACAGGTTGTGGGTGCGATCTCAACCCCTCGGCTCACCTCAACTGTTAAGAAAGCAAAGAAAATGTTCTTCATATCGGTGTCCTTAAAGACAGGCTCCGTATAGAACCAGCTGAAATTGTCTGTAATCAACTTTTTATCGAAACGGTGTAAACTATTTATTTTATGTCTGGTTATGAGATTCAAACTTAAGATATAGGATTTAATAATGACATATTTCTGTATTATTGATCTAGTAGGATTATAATATAATGTTTTTAATAGTAGAAAAATTAAATTTCTTGTTTTATTGAATATAAATAAATATTAAAAACCCAAGGGTAAGAATGACATTTGAGTAAGCCAATGAGTGTATGTATGTAGAGTAGAATATACTACACTACATTATGAAGATGGAATAATTGAGGTCAATGCAAGTTTTTATACCCATTTAATGGATCCAATGTTGTATTTAGCAATTAAAGTTCAAAAACTTATTTTATAAAGAGTAGCTTACAAATTAATTAAAATCATGGTCATAATTGTAACCAGTAATTCCTGAGTTAATCTATATCATGTCATTTTAAAAGTATCATGTAAGAGACAAATCAGGTACACAGATACCCACTAGGTAACTGATTGAAGAATTCGTTACCTAGTAGGAGCTCAATCTTTAGACTCGCACTATCGACAATTTATGCAAGTGTACTATTTCGTTCCAACTATGTTAAAACTTATGACCGATATGCCCATTAACTTACAAGCAGCTCATAAATTCATATAGTTACATGATATGAAACAAAATGTCATAAATTTTTCTATCATTCTCACTGCATCTTGTCTTGCAACACCCAACACCCGCAATAAGTAGGGATGTTCATCGGTTGAAATCTTATTGATTTGGTCCGGTCTGATCCAATACAATGTATGATGAATGGATGAGATCGGTTCTGTCCAATGGATATTACTATTGGTTATCTATTAGACCCATCCAATATTTTGATACAATTTTCAACTAATTAATCCACTATTTCAACCAATTATTCATATATTTTCATAATTTATAAAAAAACCCACTACGTATAAAATATCAACTGAAAATCAATATCATAAAATGTTAATAATTATATTATTTTTATTATTAATTGGATGATATTTGGATAAATAATTGGATTGGATCGGTTTCGGTTTTACTGAATTCTGAATTTCCATCCAAGTATCGACTAATCCAATTTGTATATTGAAAACCCACTTCTTCGATCTGCAACCTCCGATCTTATTTGACCTATCTTCTAGGGTCCTTCTATCGACCGGTAAAAAGCTCATTTTCTCAAGGAATAGACTAAAGTCCTTCACTTTAAACAATAAACAAGCTAAATATTTATATATTTTTTGATTAACCTGGATATCCAACCCGCTATGCGAGCCGACTAATCCCAGGGCGACCACCTGCTTTGCAGATAGCTCGGAGTCACCATATTTGAACCTCTGTGGCCGACTAACATGCTAAATATTTTGGATCAAATTCAACCCAATTACAACGGAATATCTAATTACAGTCAGTGAGTTATACTTGGATCAGATGATTTTCTGTACATTCCTAATAACAAACTACTGACTCAACAACCTCCAAACGATTCCATTTATAAACATGTCTGAACAAAATACCTCATGAGCATGTAGGATGTACTTGCTTTGTTTTGAACATATAAAATCAACATCTGAATGAACAATTGGTATGCCAGCTTATTATGGCATGTTGTACTTTAATTTCATTTATGAATTTTGGTACCTAACAAAGAAAATAAAACCAAATTAGCAAACATTACTCATAACTCATAATGGGTGACATCAGGTTGGAGTGGTTGTCATGGTGTTGTCAACCACTCAATTGTGGTTATCTAACATCCAAAGCAATGTAATTAAGAGGGTAAGTTGTCTTCCTCATTAATATTATAACCATTTTATATTCTTAAGGTCATCCTTCACTTCAATTAATTCTAACATCAAATAATTCCATTCAGCTGTTCTCAGTACATGGTAAAGACTAACCGGTCGTTTATCAAATTGTTGTCGAGTAAGCATTTACAGTTACCATGTCAGATAATATTATCAGCTATCAAAATGATTTGTTTGTAAGTATCTCATACCTAATAAACAATGACCAGATAAGGGTTTTATCTCTCGCTTACTAGGTAAGATAGTCGACCCTTGTCTTGCTTACTCGGTGAGGTAAATGACTTGAGAAGCGCTTATTTGATAAGCGTTTGATAAACGACCCTTTGAGGAACCATATTCTGCCTTCAAAATAGAAAATGAAAACTATGGGTTTTATTATACAATTCATCATCAGATGTATAGTCTTGTAAAAAGCCGACCTCAGTTTGTAATACTATGAGGTGGACCTGGTGTATTGTGTATTATTCATAATAAATAATTGTGAACATTATTCATTATTCATTATGAACATAACGTATTTTCAACCAACAAAGTTTGTAACACCATGAGGTGAACCTAATGTATTATTCATAATGAATAACCCTGAATAATCATAGATATTACACAGTACAAATCCCATGTATTTTCAACCAACACAGTTTGTAATACCATGAGGTGAACCTGATGCATTATTCAAAATGAATAATCATGAATATTATTAATCATTAATACCATGTATTTCACATTTCATGACACCATGCATTTTTATTATGAGTAATATTTATCATGAATATTCCTAATGAATAAAACATAAATAGTTGGTTCTCCGGATCTTCAAAATATTTATGATTCTTATTTAAACCCACCTGTATAACAAACCAACTAAGCACGGTAAATTCCACACAAAGTAGGATCTGAGAAAGGTAAGATGTACACAGCATTTCCTCTAACCAAAAAGGTAAAGAGGCTATTTCCGTGAAGACTCTTATTCATGGTCTAAGATACCTGCCTAAAAGATCATAATTCTTCTCAAATGCAGAGCATTTCACATAAACTAGTGGGAGCAGAAAGCTACAAAAAGCAAAAAACATCCCTCATTAAAAAGGTTGCAAAAAACAAACAAGTATACTGGTAAACAACTAACATGGTAGGTCACTTAGGAGCACATGGGAGCATGTCAGCTTACACATGGACATGAATGAGTTGCAAAAGAGATCCCATGTATTTCACTGACATGGTGATACCATTGCTTCCTAAAAACCAAACTGAACCACTATACTTGACCTCTATCCCATATGTCACTGGTATGGTGATACCGTTGCTTCCTAAAAACCAAAGCTCAAACCAAACTGAAACAGTAAATCTAACTCAAAAATAGGAGCAGTATGTAGACCTGACCTCTGTCCCATATGTCATTGGTATGGTGATGTCATTGCGGACTCTTGACCTCTACTCCAACTAGTAGAAGCGGTTGTTTATCCTATGGCTTCCTAACCCAGACCAAGGGCCTGTTTGTTAACAGCTTAATAAGCTTAACAGCCATACACGACTGCTTGGTAGTGGCTTATTTAGTAAGCTTCTAGGGGGGAGCTTTATGCAGAAAGCCAAGTTTTTTCCAAACTTGTCCTTCCTGGTTATAGAATATGCTCATTTCATCTATGAAAAACCCTCCCAAACAAAAACCTTTTCGATCTATATAGACAGATTAATTCACACAGACAACTTTATCGATACAGGACTTAATAGAAAACCAACCAAAGAACCCCTAAATAAGCTTTTTCCTTTGCAAATAATTGCATCAGAAAAGACTGATCTAGTTACTGGATGACTAAAACCAATCAGATTAAAGAGACAAACCTTGTTATCAGGACATGATATTATTGGTTTGCAATATGATGGTGAACTGGTTACAGCCCTTTAACCCAAATGATCAGTCTGATTCAATTCGGTATTCAAACAATCGAATGGTTCTCTTGAAAGAAACACAAATACATAAGATCACTTAAAAGAAATTCTGCAGGTGTACAAAGGACTCTTACGGTTCTTGGAGCAAAGTAAACCTCAGAAATCTTAAATGGTATAACTCACTAAATGTATCTGGTATCACTTGTTGCATTAAGATCACACCAGGCACGAATTCCATGATGGCTGAATTCCATACGACACATCTTATTCCTACAAAATGACGTGCGTAATTTATTGTAAAGTGTAAAAAGAGAGTGAAGGGAGACCTGTAGATAATGGCTAAAAGATACATACGGATATATGGACATGAAGTTGGGCATCTTAGTAAAGCAGTTCCTCAAATACGGGATCCACATTTTGTCCCCATTTCCCATGGTACAAATCGAGGAGCTTCTCTGCTGGTGTTAAACCTGAAGCATAGAGATATACATGTCAGTCAGATTTTCTGGTTGAAGCCACACTACACCGTTTAAGTTTGTGCACTGAGGGTGCTTTTAGTACACTGGGCAGGACAACACAAAACAGGGATTGACAGTTCCACGTTTGGCAGGACTTTTATGTCAGACATTTATGTGGAACAGTGTTCCCTGTTCCACTCCCACCCCATGGAACAAGGTGGAATAGACCTATATTTTAATGATATAACCTCAAAATAAAACCTAATTCTCTTCCAAAACATCAAATAGCCTCCCTTTTTACATGTTATTCATTCTTTAAATTTTATTTATTGTATTTTATGCCTTTTAAACTTTCACTTTACTGTCCTCAATATATCATTTTTATATGGTTTCTATATTTTGATTAATTTATTTAATTTATTAAATATAAATAAAAAATAATGTGGAAAAGGTATAAAATAAAAATTGGAAACTACATTAACTTTTTATTTTTGTCATTTTAATCGTCTTGGCGAAAACTTTCTAATAATATGTTTTGTTATAAAAATATTTATCTTATTATAATTTAATAAATTACATGAATTAATCAAAATATATAAACAACTCATTAGGGATAAATTGGTCATTTTATATGTTCTATCATGTACAGTTTTGTCTTATCAAAATTGAACAGTTGTTCTGTCTGGATACCAAACGCGCCCTTAGTACTAAACTACTCCCTCCGTCCCAAAATGGATGTCCATAATGAAAAAAATACATGGTTTTAGAAATATGTAACTATTTACACTTTTTTAATTAACTAAATGGCAATTTTACCCGTAGTAACAGAGGAAGTAATGGATTTCTCCATCTTATAATTAAGGGTAGAACTGAAAAGTAGACATTAACTTTTGAAAATGGACCCTTACTTTGGGAAAAACAAATATTGAATTGTTGACACTTATTTCGGGATGGAGGGAATATAATTGTTGACCTCCCATCGGATAAAAGCATGAGAGAAAAAAAATCAAATGCATCAATCACCAAAGGTAAGTAAGATAACACAGATATAAAAAGCCAATGAAAAAGACGCCTAATTCACCTGTTCTAACAACATCTGCCACTTCATTTAAGAATCCCGTTTCCTTGTATCCTCTCCTCTCCAGGCCGTCCTGTGTAAAAGGTGTATGTTAAGATGATCCACAATCGATTCACCAACATAAGTATCAATCGAAGTTTCATAATTACCTTTGCGAACTTCACAACTTCTTCAGCAACATGTTTCAACAATCCATCACGGAATGGGGTTTTCAGACCACTTACAGGCACCTGAAACATAAATTCGTAGAATGCTCATGATAGTGTGGATTGTATAACGAGAAAAACGGATCCATAAGTAAGAAAAATACTTTTCTTATGTCATATTTACCTTATTTCTCAACATTTGTCGTTCTTCCTGAGTCCAATCAGCTGTCATGTCCAAAACATTTTGCAGAGAAACATCATCGTACAATATGCCCACCTGTTGTTCAGTTGCACTATAGTGAGATCTAACAGTTGGCATTCAACCAAGTATAGACAGTAAATATGTAGAAACAAAAAAGAAATAACAGACATTTTCATGCGTTTTGTACACTGAACATGACTAAACAAAATTGGGATCGTGGTCCTATGTTTGACAGGACTTTTATGTGGAACAGTCGAACCAGAGTGGAACAAAGTGGAACAGGCATGTTCCACCCCCACCCCATGGAATAAGGTGAAAAAGACCTATATGTTACCAATATAACCTCAAAATAAAACCTAATTCTCTTCTAAAATATCAAATACGCCTCCCTCTTTCCCTTTTATTCATTCTTTAAATTTTATTTATTGTATTTTATGCTCTTTAAACTTTCATTTTATTGTCCTCAAAATATTATTTTTATACCGTTTCTATATTTTGATTAATTTATGTAATTTATTAAATATTAATAATAATAAAATAATATAGAAAATGTATAAAATAAAAATTGGGAA